ATCATCAGTTTAATTATTAGTTATTAGAACAATTATTAGTTTTCATCATCAGTTTAATTATTAGTTATTAGAACAATTAATTATTAATTATTAGTTATCAGTTGTTTTTGTAAAGAGAAATAAAACTGGCGTCATCGCCGTTTCTAAAAATCTGTATCAGACACAGAAAAACTTGGATCCAGGATCTGGTTCTTTGGGTCCTGATCCAAACCTCGTGCCCACAGGTGATGGAACTTTAGACCCAAGTCTTTCTTCAGCAGGACCGACAACTCGGGCCCAAGAGGTCCAGTTAGTCCTTCACCTGAGACAGGAAGCCCGGCCCGCAGGAGGCCTCCACCCGTCTCTGGTCGTCGTCACCAACACTTGAACCACCTCTATGAACTGAGTCTGGTCTTCAAGAGTCCAGGGAGATCCCGTCCTGCGTGAGGCGGCACCGCCGGTCCGACCCGAGTTTAGGTCCGTTTCTTCCCTGCGTGACTCGCAGGTCGGAGTTAAAGGCTCAAACAAACTGTTCGGTTAAAAACTGAAGTTTTATTTAAAACTGTCGTTTATAAAAAACTTCTGAGGAACGTGATTCACTGAAACATCGTTTAAACCAGTTTAACTCTTCATACTTTAAGGAAATAATAAATCCAAACATTTGTTTTTATTTAAAAACCTGTTTCCTATCAGAGAATATGTCCTCGGACCTTCCAGACCCGGTTTAATTTCCCATCAGAACCAAACTGAACCATGAGAGTGAAAATAAACCTCCGCTCAGACAGAACCGCTTCTTTTACGGTTGATGAATAATGGAGAGGGTTCTGAGCGGACCCGGCCCATATCCTCTGTCCTCTGGTTCTGACCCGAGTCGCAGGACTCGACGCGCGGCGCTCCAAAGATGGCCACGGCTGGCAGGACCCCAACATGGCCTCCGTTCTGCTGTCAATCATTTAACAGCTACTCGAAGCTCCTCCCACGACTCGCTGCGTTCACGGGAGCCAGAAGTACCGACCGACACAGATCGGATCAGAACCGACCAACGCAGATCGGATCAGAACCTCTCTGACAAACTGAGCACAGATTATATTTTGTTCAGAGTGTGCTGGGATTAACGTAGCGGTTCAAAGAAATATTAATAACTGAATAAATCTAAATCCTCAGATTACGGTTTTTAGACGGAACAACTTGTTGGACCTGCAGTTTTCAGTACCCGGGTCAAACAGAACCATCCAACAGAACCTGCTCTGAACCACCGGACCAACTCTGTCAAGAATCGCTGCCAACAAAACCCAATCAGGTAATCATCAACTCCCCCCTCGGCTCGTCCTCAGAGTCGAAAGGTGACCTAAGCTGAAGGGGGCGGAGCTTACTCACATTAAAAAATGAGTTACAAACATCAAAACAAAGAAAAAAACCTCTCTTTATTTAAATATTTTCTCTGGTACAAATATTACTGTGAAGTTTAGTTTGATCTACTCAGTAAAATATTTAACAACAAACTAAAGTACAGTCCAACCCTCCTGCTGCCTTTGGGTCAAAATGACCTCAGAGCTTTAAAACCGAAGCCTTGTCGGTCATTTTTGGTCCATATTTTGCTAACAGAGCACGTCTCTCTCAGACTGCAGGTTTACTTGTGGTTCCTAGAGTTTCCAAAGTAGAATGGGCGTCAGAACTTAGCAGGACCACTTTCCTCCACCTGAAGTATAAAACTGTTCGAAACACGTTGTCCCCAAACGATGCAGAAAAACTGCTCCGTGCACTGATCAGGTCGAGGCTGGACCACTGGGATGGTTTATGATCTGGGTGTCCAAAAACTCTTCAGGTCTTCAGTTGGTCCAACGTGCAGCTGCCAGAGTCAGAAGATAAGATCATCTCTCTGCAGTTTCAGCTTCTCTCCACTGGCTCCAGGTCAGAATTTAAGATCTTACCTCTAACCTACAAAGCTCTCAACAACCTAGCTCCATCTATTATTAATACAGGTAATATGACTGGTCCATATTCTGCTAACAGAGCACTTCGCTCTCGGACTACAGGTTTACTTGTGGTTCCTAGAGTCTCCAAAAGCAGATTGGGAGGAAGATCTTTCAGTTCTCAGGCTCCTCTCTTGTGGAACCAACTTCCTGTTTCTGTCCGTGAGGCTGACACATTGTCCAGTTTAAGACTTTCCTTGTTGAAAAATCCTATAGTTAGGGTCAGCTTGGGTTTCCTGAGCTATACTTTAGTTATGCTGCTATAGGCTTAGACTGCTGGAGGACAAACTGACCACATTTCCTCACTCTGCTGCCGTCTTTACTTACTCCAGTATGTATTTGTAGTTATTTCAGTTATCAACATGTTTTTCTTTTTCTTTTCCCCGAAGAAACTACACCTGAACCAAAGAAACTACACCTGAACCATAGAAACTACACCTGAACCATAGAAACTAAAC